CGCCGGCGGCCGCCCGCCCCGCGGCCCGCGCCGCGCGGACCCTCCTCGCCCAGGCACGTGGGCTCGGGGCTGTCGGTGCCGCCGCCGGAGGGACTGTCCGGCGGGGCCTCAGCCGCGGAGCCCCGGCCCTGGGGGCCGAATTTGGTGCCTTCGGCGAAGGACACGGAGGGGCGCTTGGCCTTGGCGAGGCTGGAGGTGCGCGGGATGGCGAACGGCTGCGACACGTCCTCGGAGCTGAAGGCCGACGGGTCCGGCAGCGCCTCGGTGGACGCGGGTGCCCCGTCCTGCAGCTCGGCCCCCGCCAGCACGGGGACACCTGCGGAGATGGGAGCTCAGGGACCCCTCCAGGCTCCAAGCTGGGGCTGGGGTGGGGGAATAATCGCGGAGCAGCGTCGGGAGTGGGATGAGCGGGAAGTGCAGGAACAGCTACGTCACCTTCCCGGGGCGGCACCGAGTACTCAGGGCCCTCGTTGTCCGTGTCGAAGGAGGAGAAGGAGCTGTCCGAGACCCAGGCGGCGGACGGCGGCTCGATGAAGCTGGGGTTGAAGGGGATCTCTGCATCGTGGTGGGAAACTGCGGCGGGCACAGGAGAGGAGTCAGCGCGGGCGCCGCGCTCCCGGGTATCCCAGAGCGGTGCCGGAGGGGAGCGGCGCCCCGGCCGTCACCTGTGACCTTGGGCAGCTTGGAGCCGCCCAGGGCGACGCAGGGCATCAAGGCGCTGAGGTTGGCCAGCACCCGCCGCACGTGGTGCTTCATGCGGGACACGACGCCGTCGTCCGCCGCGGCCGCCCTGCGGGCACAGCGCACCCTGTTCCCGCTGCTCCCTCCGGCGCAGCAGGCTGCTCCAGTGGGAGCCGCTTCCCTCGGGATCCCCGGGGCCGGGTGCTCACGGAGATACCTGTCCCGGGCGTCGGCGTGGCCGGCGCCGCAGCAGCAGCAGGCGCCGCAGAGCAGCAGCAGCAGCAGCGGGACGAGGACGGCGGCGGCCACGGCCGCGTGGTCCTTAGCGCCTGCGGGGAGAACGGGCAGGGCTGCAGGGGCCCTGCGGGGAGCCGGGCGCTGGCGCGACGCCGGGGATGCCCTTACTCCAAACGCAGTGGCCCTGCGCGGGGTGGCAGGTCCCGCGGGAGCAGCGGCAGGCGGAGGAGCAGTTCACACCGAAATACCCCTCGGGGCACGTCTCGTTGCAGCTGCGGGATAGAGGGCAGGCAGAAGAGGGGTCTGTGCCCTGGGCACCCCCAGGCCGCGTGCCCGGCTGCCCTTACCTGCCTCCCCAGTAGCCGGCCCAGCAGACACAGGCTCCCGACACGGGGTGGCAGCTGCCGGCCACGCAGTCCGCGCACGGCTGCTGGCACCCGGCGCCGAACGTGCCCCGCGGGCAGGAGCTGTTGCAGCTGTGAGGACAGGGGTGTCAGGGCGGGCGGCACGGCGGGAAGCGGCGGCGCGGCGCGCGGGGCCGCGGTACCTGGCTCCCGCCCAGCCGGGCTCGCAGGCGGCGCAGGTGCCACTCTCGGCGTCGCAGGCGCCACCGTCGCGGCAGCGTGGGCAGCTCTGCCGGCAGCCGGCACCGTGAGTGCCCGCGGCACAGCGCTCCTGGCACCGCGTCCCGTTCCAGCCGGGCTCGCAGCCGGTGCAGGCGCCGTCCGTGGCCGCGCAGGGCTGCGCTCCCGCGCAGCGCCCGCAGCTGCGGGGCAGAGGCACCGGGGGATGTGAGGCACCCCCAAAACGCCCCCTGCACCCGCGTGACGCGTCCCTGGCATCCACACAGAGTGACCCCTGCGCTTAGCGCTCCCTGGCAGCAGCGGGGCAGGAGCGGAGTGGGGACAATCGCTGCTGCTCAAAGCAGCGGGCAGCAGCACTCAGGACACGCGCTGGGATTTCCGCATCACGCCTGGGGTTTTGGCTCAATTTAGCAGGATATTCCTTTGGGTGCCGAATCCAAGCACCGCCCCAGCCCTCCCTGGGGACATGTCCCCCCAGCCCAGGACACATCCGTGTATCCCGAGCTCACCTGTGCACACACTGCGGGCCATACTTCCCGGGCGGGCAGGGCTCACGGCAGCTCCGGCCCTGGTAGCCGGGGCTGCAGCTGCAGTGGCCGCTGAGGGGGCTGCAGGCGCCGTGCAGGCAGTCGCAGCGCCGCTGGCACGCGGGGCCCCACCAGCCGGCCCGGCACTCGCACTTGCCCGTCTCCTGGGCGCAGGGCGACGCGTTGCACGAGCACTTGAAGCTGCAGCGGCGGCCCCACCAGCCGGGCAGGCAGCGGCAGTGGCCGCTGTGCGGGTCGCAGCGGGAGCCGCCCGGGTTGCACTGGCACTGCCTGTCGCACGCCGGGCCCCACCAGCCGGCCTCGCAGCGGCAGGCGCCGCTCAGCGCCTCGCAGCGCCCGTGGGCGCCGCACGCGCACGTCGACTCGCAGCGGGCGCCCCAGCGGCCCGGCAGGCAGGTGCAGCGGCCGCTCGCCGCCTCGCAGGTGCCGCCGGGGTGGCAGGGGCAGCGGCGCTTGCAGTCGGGGCCCCAGTACTGCTCGGGGCAGCCTGCGGAGGGAAGGAGATGGGGGGAAAGGAGCCACGGGCACTGGCGGAGTGGCTCCCCGGCCCGCGTGGGTGCCCGCGTCACATCCGGGTCACGTCCGTACTCACGGGAGCTGCAGTCGGCCCCGAAGAAGCCCGGCTTGCAGAGGCAGAGCCCAGGCCGCACGCACACCTCGTCCTTGCCGCACGACTCGGCTCCCTCGCAGAGCGCTGCGGCGGCACCGCGGCAACGTGGGCGCCCGCTCCGCACGGAGCCCCGAGAGCCACACGGAGCCCCGAGGGCCGCACGGAGCCCCGAGGGCCGCACGGAGCCCCCAGCGCCGCACGGAGCTCCAAAAGCCACAGGGAGTCTCAAGCTCCACAGGGAGCCCTGAGCACCGCAGGGAGCCCCGAGTGCCGCACGGCACCCCGAGCTCCACACGGTGCCCCAAGCACCGCACGGAGCCCTGAGCTCCAAGCAGCACCCCGAGCTCTGCACAGGGCCCCAAGCTTCACAAGGCACCCCAAGCTCCAAGGGGCACCCTGAGCTCCACAGGACACCCCAAGCTCTGCACAGCACCCCAAGCTCCACAGTGCACCCCGAGCTCCACACGGTGCCCGAGGCTCCACATGGAGCCCCAAGTGCCGCACGGAGCCCCAAAGGGCTCCAAGCCACACGCTGGCACTGGGGCAGCTCTGCCCTTAGCCCAGGGCTCCCTCCTGCCCCGCGGCTGCACCAGGGACCCTGGGGACACTGCTCGGGTGCCACTTACCCTCCGTGCACTCCCGCCCTTGCTGCTTCCAGCCGGGACAGCACTCCAGGCCCGCAGGGACGCTGCGGAGAGAGCGGCGCCCTTAGCGGGGCCTTTGTATTGGCTTCAGAAACCTTGAAACGGGACAAAGTGGGAGCCGGGGAATTGCTGCGGAAGGAAGCCAGCAAAATAGGAGGAAGCTTCAGAGGCAGCAGCCTGGAGCGGGCTGTGGGGCCGGGCGCCGGCGTCGCGGCTCGGGGACGGCTAAGTCTGTGCCGGGCGCGGGAGCCGCTCGGAGCAACGGGATGGACGTGGCATTGCAGTGCCGGGTAGCCGGGAGAGCGGCAGGGCAGGAGAGACACCGCGTGAGGATTAGATGCCGCGCAGCGTCCAGCTGGGGGAAACCTCAGGGTTTTGACCCAGGATGGTGTCCGGCAGCGCGCGGTGCCCGGAGGCTCTGCCCGCGCGGCCACGCGGGGCCGGAACGAGCCCGGGCGCCCGGCGCTGAGGCCGGACACCCCGTGGCACCCGCAGGGCTCGGCCTCCCCGCGCGGCGTGGCGCCCCACCTGCCCTACCTGCACACGTTCCTGCCGTCCGGGTCCAGCTCCTGCGCCGAGCCCTGCACCCACAGCCACAGCTGGAGGCAGAGGATGGGCCGGGCGCGCGCCATGGCACCGGGAGCCCCGCGGCAGCCGCCTGCGCCCGTCCCCTCCGTCCCTTCCCTTCCCCGCCGTGGGCTCGGCCTCTTCCTCCCTCCGGCCTCGGGCTCCTTCCTGAGGAAACGCGGGAGGAGGCGCCCAGGTCGGCACGTCAAGGGGAGCGGAGGGAAGGAGCTGGCGGGAATGCCGCCGTGCTGCTATTTCTGGCCCCGGCCGAGCTCGTGGCAGCCAAAGCTGGCGGGTGGTCGGGTGCACCCAGGCATCTTGTCCTGGGCTCCCCTGCGCCCCCCGGACCAGCTCCGTCCTCCTGCAAAGCTGTTTTATCCGGTGCCTCCCAAAGCCTGGGGAGCATCTTGGCTGTCCTGCCCTGCTCCAGCACCTGCCGCCTGCCCCAGTGCCCAGCCCTCTGCTCCCTGCACCGTCCCCTCGTTCAGCACGGGGACACGGCAAGGCCCAGGCTGAGCCTTGGATGGGCCCGGACGCCGGGACCCACCGCCATTGCCGGCCCAGCTCCCAGGAGCTCCGTGTCAGCAGATGCACAGGAAACACCTTTTTCCTACCCAAGAGCTGCACTCGGCCCGGAGCGTCGCGGCTGGAAGCGCAAGCTGCCCCCCGCAGCAGCCTTTAATTCCTGTGCACGCGGGGACGGATAGACACGCCGGGATGGATGGACACACAGGGACAGATGGGCACATGGAGACAGACGGACACCGCGGGGGCAGCCAGGATGGAGCTGTGGACCCTCAGGAATGTCCTGAGCTGCTGTTGTCCTTCGCCGGGGTGCATGAGAGGCCACGGCCACTCCGGGGCTCCGCAAAGCCGCTCTGGAGCTTTTGCAGCCTCCTAGGAGCAAGGACAGAGCAAGGACGGAGCAAGGACGGAGCGAGGCTGCAGCATGGGCGCTGTGGGACAAGAGATGGATTTATTTCTGACTCCGCTCGTAGAGCTGGAAAATACCTGACCCGTGAGGACCCAGCTGTCCCCACAACAATGAACATGAGAGGTGACGTTACAGTCTTCCAGTTTCCAGTAGCAGAAGGAAGAAGTCCCGGTACAAAAGCGATTCACCCCGGTCTGAAAGGTGCACAAGTGGCCCCGGCCGTGCTGGCCCCGGCCGCTGCTCTCCAGCACAGCCCCGAGGGCCCCTGCTCTTGTGGGTGCAACGTGCTCAGCCCCAGTGCGAGTGTGTGGGGAGCCGAGGACCCTGCGTCCCCAGGACAGTGCCCAGCAGCCTGCCCAGACACTCTTCCTTCATCTTCACATTGCAGGGACAAGGAGGAAAGAGAGTGGGAAAGGGAGGAAGCAAAAGATCCGTGGGCTCGACAGGGTCCCCAGTGCAGGAGCCGTGAGCCACCGGTGGAGGGGAATTGCCCCACGGGGATGCCGAGGCGTGACAGTGCAGGGAGACAGGGAGAGCCGGCCTGGAAGAGCGGGAATTCAGGGCACAGCTCCAGCGGCGGGAAGTGGCCGGGACGGGAAGCGGCAGGAGGAGCAGGCGGAGGGAAGCGGCACGGCCGGAGTCGCCTCGGGCTCGGCTGGGTCAGAGCGGCGGCGTGGCTCTGTGCGGGGAGCCGTCCGGCTCCCTCCGGCCCTCCTGCTCCGGCTGCGCTTCCAGCGAGTCGATGATTTCCCAGGCTCCGGAGCAGCTGGGCGTGGGGGCCTCTCTGCCGCTGCCCGGATACCACAGCCCGAAGCTGCAGGGAGAGCAGATAAAGGTGTGGGGGAGAGGAGCCTTTCCAGGGCTGCGGCTGCATCCCGGCCCCGCACCAAGCCGCAGCTCCGGAGAGCAGCACCCAAGGGAGCCGCTGATCCCGGCTGAGCCGCCCGAGCGCCCACTTACAAGCTCCTGATTTGGGACTGGGGCGGCGGAGCGTCCACGCAGTCGGCACCGGGAGCTGGCAGCCAGGAGCCCTCGTCCTCGTCACTGAGGACAACAAACCTGCGCTGAGCCACACGCGGCCAGAGCCACTGCCGCGTCCCCTCCTGTGCCCCCCGCGTGTCCCGGAGTGTCCGGAAAGACCCCCAGGTGGATGGTTCAGGTGGATGTGGTCCAGGGTGGCAGGACCGCAAGAGTTCAGGATTTGCAGGGTCCCTCCCTGCCCTTTCCTGCCCCTGCTGCGGCCTTTCCGTTGCTTCCCGATGGGAAGATTCTCCTCCCTCATCCGCCTCCGTCCCTTTTGTTGGCTTCCCCAACTCCCTGCTCTTGGGCACCCCGAGGCTGGCAGCCCGCAGGGCCCCGCAGCCCCCGCACGTCACACAGCACCAAGGGGATGTGGCCAGGGAGCAGCCATGTGTGGCTGGTGACAAGGACATGTGAACGTTGGCAGGGGACAGCACGGGCCCAGCAGCGCTCCCAGGGCTCAGCCAAAGCAAGACACCAAGTGCAGGCAACAAACCTTTGATCCCTGGAACAGGGACAGCACAGGACGGAGCAGCTCTTGGCCTGGGGGAGGTCCCTTCCAGGGCATCACAGCCCTGTGCAGAGCTACTCCATGGGCGACCTCCACAGCCAGACACACTCACCTGCTTGCGGACTCCTCCGCCGTGCCCAGCATTTTGGCTCTGATTTTCCTTCTCTGTTTTTTGATAGACGATTTCATTGCGTCCAAGAAGAAGCTGGGAATTCGCTCTTCGTTCAGCAGCTCTCTGGCAAAAACGAAACCAGCTGGTTATTGAGAGGAGAAAACCTCCCAGGAAGGCAGAGCAGCAGTGACAGGAGCAGCCCCTGCCAGGCTCCAGGCTCGCTTTCCGCGGCTGCCGCTCCGGGACTCACCGCTGGTAATAAGCCAGCTCCTCCTGCACCAGGAACAGGTTGGTCTTGAGCTCATTGCGCTCCTGCAGGATTTGCTGCAGCTCTTCCCTGGAGAAGCAGCAGTGAGCGGGGCTCTTGCCCGGGCCTGGCCGCAGCGGGGTATCCTCTGCAGGCAACGATGCTCCTTCCTAGGATTGGGGTGGAAAGAAAGTCAGCGCGGAAACGCTAGCAGCAAATAGAGACCCCCTCAGCTCCCTTTGCTAACTCCTGCCTCCAAGCCTGCCCATTCCCATGGAGTACCCACTACAGCATCCCTAGGTGCTCGCTGCTCTACAGTCTACAGTGATAAACAGCTAGACTCAGTATTGTGTGATTCTATGCACCCCTACTAGCAGTTTGCAACACCCAGACTGATCTGGGAACTGCGGGGCCAACCCAGATGGTCTATCCCACGTTAGCAGCACCCGGTGGCCCTCGGGATGGGGCTTCCTCACCGGGCTGGGCTTTGGTGCCTGGGCTTCAGAGGCAGCTCTGCTCCTCCTGCTCGTCTCCCTCTGCGTTTGCAGCACAACCGCCTCCAGGTCGGACTTCTGCTCCAGGGCGCTCTTGAGCTGGGCCTGCACCACGGCCACCTTGTGCCGCAGGTCCTCGTTCATGGACATGAAGCGGTTCAGTTGCTCCTGCAGCTGGGAAGCCCGCGAGAGCCGAGGGGGAGCTGCAGCAGCAGCAGCTCTCCAGACCCGGCTCCCACCCACAGACACGCGGGGGCCCACGGGGAAGGCAGAGAGGCCCAGGCAGGACCACGAGCGGCCCCAGGGGGATGTGACACAGCCCTGGCTCTGGGCGGACGTGCCTGGGCACCCTCCCGCAAACTCACTGCCTCCGTGTCGCGGCTCTTGCAGACGATCTCGTGGGCCTGGGCGCGGATCTCGTCCCTCTGCCTGTCCACCACCTCCTTGAGGCGCAGCATCACCTCCCGCTCCTTGCGCGCGGTGCTTCCTGAGCGCGGGTGTGAGGGCAGCGCGTGGGCACGAGCAGCCTGCGCGCTGCCCCGGGGCAGGGCTGCTGCTCCGGAGCTGCCCCCCGCATGCGGCACCACGCACGCCCGTCCTGCCGCGTCCCCGATGATGCGGTCCCGGGTGGGCACCTGTCTCTCCACCCTGCACAAGGGATGTGCTGCCCCAAGCCCTTCGCCCGCGTCCACCCTCGCGGCTCGGGGTCCCGCTCCTGCTCCCCGGTGCGATGGGAAGGCTCCGCTCTCCAGAGCCGGGCACCTTGGCACACTGAGCGCGGCAGAGCTCACCCTCGTGGGACTGACTCTCCGCCAGCTGCCCCCGGAGCCGCCGGTTCTGCTCCTCCAGACGGGCCACGCGCTCGGCCTGCGCCCGCTCGCGCCGCTCGGCCGCCCACAGCCGCTGCTCGAGCTCCTGGGGCACCGGGAGAGCGGGGTCAGCGCCGGGGACCCCCGAGGCGCTGCGACACCGGGGTCCTGTCCTGGAGGCACCGGGCTCGGGGAGCTGCCACTTTGGAGGGGATCTCTGGCAGGGGGAAAGGGACAACTGGGTCACCTGCCATGCAGGCCACTGGGGTGAGCAGCCGCCCTGCGGGTACAGGGACAAGCCGGTGCCTCCCCCAGAAGGGACATGAAAGACCAGGACGGCCCCTGCTACCTCGGAAGCGGTAAGAATGAGGAAGAACCATCCCCATGGGACAAGGACAGACCGATACTTCCTCGAGGGGACCCCGAAGGGGACAGGGACCGCCAACACCTCCCCAAAGGGACCCAGGACAGGGCAGCACCAGCCCCACAGGGACCCCGGAGGGGCCAGTAACTCCCCCGAGGTGACAAGAACGGGTCAGGGCCTCCCCCGGGGGGCGCCCTAAGGGGACAAGGAGAGGACAGCGCTTCCGTGTGGGGGGGGACCCGACCGGCCCCGGGCTTCTCCCGACGGGACCCCCGGGAGGACCCGGCCCCCCCGCGGGGTCCGGACCAGCCCCGGGCCTCTCCCCACGGGACCCCCGCGACCCCCCGCGGGCTCCCCCGCAGCCGGGGGGCCGCACGCGGGCGCCCCGCGCGGGCCGCGCTCACCTCGCTGTCCCCGGGCGATGGCGGCGCTTGGGCCTCGGCGCCCGGCGGCGCCACGAGCGCCTCGAGCAGCTCCAGGAGCCGCACGACGGGCGGCACGAGCCCGGCCACGGCGTCGGGCCCGAAGCGGCCCGAGAGGCGGCGCAGCTCGGCGCCCAGCGCGCCCGCCATGCGGTAGACGTGAGGCGGCGCCAGGCGGCCCGGCGGCGTCCGCCACAGCGGCTCCGCGCCGCGCTCCGCCATGGGCCCGGCCCGCCCCGCTCCGCCCCGGCCCGCCCCGCGCGCAGCCCCGCCGCGGCTGCAGCAAAGAGGCTTATGGAGCCGCACGGTGTAGAAAAGAGGTTTATTGAACCACGCGGGGGAAGAGCGCAGGGTGGCGGTGCGGGGACAGGGGCGCGGGGCCGTTGAATATCAACAGTACGAAGGGGGCACGGGGCACGGGGCTAGGCGTAGAGGTCCTCGCGGTCGGCGGAGTAGACCTCGCCCTCCTGCAGTAGCGCGAAGTTGAGGAAGTGCGAGGGCCGGTGCACCTCGTGGTAGAACTCCTTGGGGTTGGCGAGCTGCAGCTCGTACTTCATGTTGGGGTCGTGGCGCACGCCTGGCACGGAGGGCAGAGCGGCCGTGAGAGCGGCACCGCCATGGGGACCCCACACATCATCCCCCCCCAGGGCTGTTTCCAGGCCACCTGTTCTTGCAATTCATCAAACTCATGTTGCTCCCTGGATCCTTATCCTTCCCTCCCCTTCTCCTCTCTGTCGCCTGACAAAAACGGGGACTTTGCAATCTAGAACCATCAGCGGGCTCTCATCTCTCTCTCTCCCCTCTAAGAGCTTGCTTTGTGATGCCTAAAATATTCAGAGGTGACAGCCCACTGCATTAACGAAGGGCCATGGTAAGCCCAGCTTGTCACTCAGAGGTAGGTCAAGCCTTAGAACCTGGTAACAAACCATCCTCAAGAGCTATTTCTTTCTCCCCACCAAGCAATACACAGAATGGGCCAGTTGCCTCCCTCCTTGTCCCTCGCCCCAGGCAGCCCAGCTCACCCATGAAGTTGTAGTTCCAGGACCCTTGCGCAGGAACCATGAAGAAGCCAAGGAAACGATCAGACAGCAGCATCTGCACCCTCTCGTAATGGGAGGGCAGGTAGCCCTTGGGGTTGTTGCCCTTGTCCGTATTCTGCCTGCCCCACTCGTAGCCGCTCGGGGTCAGTTTGTAGGCTGTCAGCGTGCAGGAGCCTGGGGTAAAACTGAACACAAGGAAAACAAAGACGGAGACTTGATGTTAATCCAGGAAAGAAGGGGAAGTCAGAAACGAGGAAATGCTCCTTTCCCCACAAATCTGCAGTTTGAGACTTCACTGTATTCTCCAGTGCAGCGGTCTCGACCTACACCTACCTTGAGAGGTTGTCTCAGCACTGTTAGAGGCCACACGACAGCCTTGCCACCTCTTACCTGCAGGTGATGATGATGGTCTTCTCCCCATCCCAGGACGGGTTGTCAGCCATGACTTTGGCGTGGGTGGTGACATCTTGTGGCGAGAGCTGTGGGGACTCATTTGGTTGGGTGTGAATCCAGCCCAGAGGCTCCATTTCCTGAAATTAAGAAGTGTTATTAGAGAAAAATAAAAGACATTTATTAAAAGATAGCTCCAAGTATGGCACAAAGCACACAGGGACTCGAGCTTCTTTTTCATCTGAGCTCAAATGAGGCAAAATTCAGGCCAAGCCCTTGAAGTCCAACATCTGCAACAAACAAGAGGAGGTCTAAAGACATGGGTTATCAAGGTGAGCTCGGTAGAGCTGCAAGTGTGGGGCCACGAGACCTTGCCATCTCTTACCCTGGAGCAGATAATCCAGAGCAGAAGCTGGACTCACCTTGAGATACTCATGCTGCGGCAGCTGTCCTGGGAGATGCACGGTCTGGTGTGTTCCCCACTGAGGTACCATCACAATGCACCGGATCTCCTTCACCTGGGGGTTATCTGGAGGGCTCACTCCATACAGGTAGCCTGCAATCTAGAAACACAAACTCACACTTTACAAGGCTGTAGGAGACCTTCCTCTAAGACCTCCTCACCTTCCATGCTGGTGAGGAGTGGGCACCACCACGCTTTTAGTTCCTGGGATAAGTTACCCACTAGCCAGCAAGAACTTTACTTAGAGGTAGGGAACCTCCTGGTCTTACTCGGTTCTAGTAGTTTCTACCCAAGCCAGGAGCCTTCGGGGCCTGGCTAGAATTTAAGTGTGCTCAGCCCTAACACAGGTGTCTACCTCCAGCACAAAGCTCTCCATAGACAGCAGCAAGCTCAGCCCTTAGAGAGCAGCGAGCTCCATAGGGGAGCCGACTGTCCAGGGCTGGAATGTGCCCAAGCAGTGTGGAGTACAACCGGAGCAGACTCATTGCACAGGTTCACCTGGGCCCGCAGATCTGAGATGCAGATAAATTTCTTCAAAACATTCTTTGGAAGAATGTAAGTATAACCTGTTTCCTTTATATCGTCTGATGAAACATAGATGTGGTTTGTTCTCAAGTGGAGGTTGGCAGCAGAAATTGCTCTGTGAAGAGAAGACAATTATGAGAGCGTCCTTCCTTCCTGGGCACTCTGATGTTTTCTACTGCACAACAGCCCTAAGCTGCCTTCCTACCTGACTCGCCACTCGGTCTTGGAGGAGAACGTTTGGGTTTCATAGTTGCTGGTTGTCGAGGTGATTATTTCATCCCCATGTTTGTTAACAGTACGGGTCTGTGTGGCTGTCAGCTGAGACTGCTCCTTGGTTTGCTTTTCAATCTCTGCAATCTGCTGCCTCTGCTGGGATGGGGCAGAGATCTCCATGCCCAGGATGATATCTCGGATCTCTGACTGCGTCAGGGATGCAACGTTCACACTGATAGAGAAAAAAATCACCTAAATCAGTAGTTTCCACGTAAATTCTGGACCCTTCTCACCAAGAAACAAGCTCAGAAATAAATGCAGGACAACAGGAGAAGCAAAACCACAGCATTTTTGGCAGAGGAAGGACCAAATCATATGATGTTCAGATTAGAAAAGATACAGTGCAGATATTTTTATCTGCCTTTCTAGTAAGTGGTTCACTTCATAAACAGTTTCCAGAAGCTGAAGGCCTCTGAAAACCTTCCATTTTCTCTGAGGAGCCCTCTCTGACCAGCCTCCCGAGCAGAAAGGAAAGGCTGGCAGGATTTTTGTAGCAGGTCACTGACTTACTTGTTCTTCTTGCCATAGTCAGCAAGGATCAGATCCTTCAGCTGCACTTCCACCTTGATCCACTCCTCATCCGTCAGGGTTGGCCAGATGTGGTGAGGCTCCGTTATGGTCGTTTTGTCCGGTTTCAAAATAACTTTGGCTCGATCGTTATTGACATGTAGCGCCCGGAGAATCAGAATCAGACGTGAGAATGCCTTGGAGAGGAATAAAGAGGCAGCTAGTCAGAAAAACGACAACTTGCATACCATGCCCTAGTACTCCTCTGTTTCAGCACAGCAACACTGTATGAGAAGTCCAAGAGGAATCAACCCAAAGGAAGGCCCAGGTAGATCCAGGTCAAGTGCTAGCAGCAGGACTTCCTGAGCAAAGACTGGGGAAGGATCTCTGAACCCTTGGCTTTTGTTTCATGCATCACTGGGAAAGTCAAATGCAGACCAGATAAGCTGCCCTCACCGTGTAGGAAGAGATGGTTTTGAGCCAGTCATCATAGAGGTTGAAGAGAACCATCTGTGGTTCAGTAGCCTTCAAGATGAGATCACCAAACTTCTCCACCTTCAGACAGGCCTGGAAAGGCAGCTGCAGCTCTGAGCCTTTGATCACAATATTGGGGAAATCCAGCAAGTGCACCTGGAGTTTGAGAAGAGGAATGAATGCATGCTTTTCTCAAAACACTGTTCCCTCACAGGAACACAGAACTGTTCTGCAATCTTCTGCAGATTTTATAGTGCCTGGCAATGGTATCTGCATGGCTACCTCAAGTGGGTCCAACATGCCCTTCCGAGTCACTATGATCTGTTTAGGCTGCTCCTCCACAGGAAGCGAACGGATCAAAGCAGCTACTTCTTCAGCTGTCTTCCACTTGGCCAGCTAAAAAGAAAGAGACAGCGACGTTGGAAGAATATCTCTACCTTGACAGCAGAGTGTCCATGCCTCTGCAACGAGAAAGTCTTAACACAGGTTCCATACAGGATACAGAATGCTTAAGGTTGGAAGGGACCTCAGAGGTCATCTAGTCCAACCCTCCCTGCTCATACAGGGTCACCTAGAGCACGTGGCACAGGGCTGCATCCAGGCGGGTTTTGAAGATCTCCAAAGAAGGAAACTCCACAACCTCTCTGGGCAGCCTGTTCCAGGGCTCTGTCACCCTCACTGTCAAGAAGTGTTTTCTTAAGTTCCTGTGGAAACATAAGTCCTGTGGAACTTTTGGTGCCTCAGTTTGTGGCCGTTTCCTCTAGTCCTAAAGACTGAGTTTCCAAATTTCTTGAGAGTGTTCAAGACCCTCACGATGCTTTCTGCTCTAGGAAGCATCCCAAGCAATCAGAGACCATTTCTAGTTCACATCTCAAGCAGAAAAAGCAGCCAAATTCTCACCTGCCCAAGACGCTTCTGTCCTGCCCACACAGATGTATGGATGATCTTCAGGAAGAGCTGTCCAGTCCTGGGATTGAAGATGAAAATGGCCCCGTTGATGGGTTTTGTGGTCAAATTCCCTTCAAAAGTCTGAGAAAATAAGCCAAAATGAAAATTACAATGAGATGGGATATATCCCATCCACGCACTTCACAACAGCAAACTCACTCTGCACTTTTAGCAGCAACTGTGCTAGAAATGAAAAGTTCTGTGTATACTGCACAACTTTTGGTCCACATTGAATCCCATTTTTCTATGACTCTCACCTACAAAAGCACCCTGGACACGGGGTATTTGTCCTTGTCCTTCCTCACAAAGACATGGCAGCACTCACCTTGTGAATGGTCACTCTGTACACGTTGGTGTCATCCACAAACCAGATGATCTGGTTGGAGAAGAGCTCCCCGTAGTTCTGGGAGGACAGGTAGGGTTCTGTGGGCTCTGACGAGTACAGCTGCAAGCCCTTGCGGATTCGTTCCCTCAACACATACAGCGCAGGGTTCGCTTTCATAATTTTGGCCATGGCTTGTTGGATCAGAGGTTTGCTCCCAGGGAACCAGTTCCCGTAAGCGCTGAGCAGAAAACAAGCAGAACGACCCAGTTGTTGCCAT